AGAGAACCAAGGAAATCACAGTAGAACAGAGAAAAAATACCGTCGAATAAATAAAGAAAACTAATATCGAAGAAATTCTAATTATTTGGAAAGTAATTCGCTGGCGTAGGTAATCAATGCGTAGCTGCGTAGGAGCATGAGCGAGATTTATCATCAACTGACCGCCGGCCGCTACGTACCTGGGTGGGCGAGCGACAATACGTAAGCGGTGGCATATGGTTCGATTGACAGAGGAGTGGGGAACGGTCAGACGTAGGGGAAAGGTTCAGGCTGAACCGTTCAGCACAGCGCAGCGTCAGTCACCGGGTGGGGAAGAGAGTCCGGGAGGGGACACTTCCCCTCGAGTGAAATAGAAAAAGGCAGAATCCTTCGAAGTTTATATTAATGATGTATACTTGAAGTGAAAAATTAGACATTTTCAGTTGACATTACATCACAAACAAAATCTGGATGAAATATTCATGTATATTTTTTCAGAAAAAAGGTAGATATATGATAATTTGAAATTCGGCATGATTCAGATGTGAAAGTCAGAGAAAGTTGCAAATATTTTTAGTGAGTTTGGCATGCGGTCATTTGATTCCATTATGTCTGGATTGAGACATGTTGAATGGTCTCATATCATTTCCACGCAAGCTATGTAGGGATGAGAAGACAGAAAATCGCCGAATTTATTGCTACCGATCACACTTTAAATTCACATGAAAACGTTAAAATGTTTATATATTTTCGTAGCAATCAAAATCTAATTGAACTAAGGGTTAAAATAATACAAATTTAGCGTCGGTAAAAAAATTAATTCCTGTGAGTAATAAATGATTCCTCTCATGAAAATGAGGAAGTCTGATAAAGTAGCTTGGTCAAGATTGCAGCAAAGAGAAATATGTAGAAGATGGTGAAGAAATCGAAAAAGATTTCGGTCGTTCGCATAGTAATAATCTGTTCAATGTGCAAGCAAGATAAACAGTTACCGCACAAAGAAACACCGGATTGAACAACGGTTATAAGTGTATATTCATTCATGAATGATGAAAAACTAATCCATACAATACACAATATAATTCGGTCGCTAGAAAGACGCGGAGGCAAAAATGAATGAAACTATAATTCCTGATCACGCACAAGTATGCCGGTTCGTTGTGCATTAGGCTGTTGACTTATCTACGAACGTGAGACCAACCAAACAAATTAAATTTCTTTCTGCACAGCGCAACACATAGGTAGACGACGCAACTTTATTGAAATAGTCAAATCCATGTAAGGTGTAGAGCGTTCATGATAATGATACTCCGGGTTTCAAAAGCTTAAATTTGTTAGACTAAAACTCTCAATTCACTTAGCGACAGTATTGCTTCAGTAGAGAAATTGCGGGTGTCTTAAATTTGGTGGATTTCTTCTTTAAAATTATACTTCTAGGAAAACTGAGTTCGAGGACATCCTTGATTTCTAAATTGGACAATTATTTGAGAAAATGTTACAAAACAACCGAATCTGCTAAAATACATGTGTTTAAATGGAAAATGCCGACAGATGACGTCATGACGGCACATTTTCTCACTTTTAAATTTGTTTTTCTACAATGTCCCATGTCAGAAAAACATCATAAAAAATACTGCGAACTCATGAAGCACTCTCAGATGAAGCAATAAAATATGTGTGTGCAAATTCTCAATTTCAAAAGTGAAGTCCAAATCCAAGTCGAAATTAAAATCAAAACAAAATCAAAATGCATTGGAATAAGTTTTTTTCATCTTGCAAGTTGTAAACACTCGAATTTTTTTCAAGTTCCTTGTCTAATAGCCAATAGCGTCATGCTCGTCTTTATGGTCTGAATTGGTCTGGGAGAAACTAATTTTAAGCCCTATTTTCAAGCCAGAGTAATTGAGGAGTTTCCTGGTAAAAGAACGTATGCAGCTTGCAATGCATGGAAAAAAAGAGGAAGGGTTTAAGTCCCAACTTTGACATTTCCTGTTATTTGTGGTAGTATGCCCCAATTAATTATGCGTAATATCCCAACAAATTAGGTTACTAACCCAAATGTTGCGGTGATACCCAAACTTGTGTTGTGGTATACCACCGAGACTGATTGGTAATTTCAATATCATCCACCAAAACGGGACAGTATCACAATTTTAGGGGATAACCTCTAACGTTTTTTTCCGCGTACTCTTTAGATTATGTGCACTATTTCATAACATTTGCAGCACGTGAAAAAATTCATTCACAGTCAACTTTCCTCCACTGTGTTTGGCGCAATGCGTGAAGTATGCATGCCGTCTTGTAGGCGCTAGGCGTTACACGCCGACCGCTGCTGACCTCACTGTGTTTGACGCAATGCGTGAAGTATTCATGCAGCCTTGTAGGCGCTAATATTTGTTACATGCCGACCGCCGCGCCGAGGGTTTCTCCTTCTCATCTCTACTCCACGCAATAGCAATGAGAAATTTGAGCAGATGCAAGTGAGGATAAATTCAGAACAGAGCTTTTCGATAAGATATTCGTAATTTAAGACCCACGTTGCACAAAAATAGCAGCATTGAAAACCTCACACGCACTTTTACTTGAACAATTTTGTTGCTTGATGTACGTCTCATCGGCCACTATTCGGCGAGATGTTGCATTGATCAATGTAGCAATTCCCACACTAGGAAAGCCATCATCTGCCCTGCGAATGCGAAAAAAATCCGCGGATGACGTGAGGTTGCGTCAACGAACGGAACCACGTGCTGCAAGAGCGGAAGGGGTTTGTCACGAGAGTTACCGGTCACCACGCAACGATGATCTTCCGGGACGTCATCCATTAGTGGATGACCATTCCTCAGATGCGACACGATTCCCCGACCAGAACTCAACTTTGTGACGAATATGTCATATCAACGGGGGATCGGTGCTCTCTCCACTTGACTGAGGAATTGTTTTTCACGAGCACGTGCAACAATGTCTCGAACGCGCGCTACCGCTGAAGATGCACCGCCGGAGTTCGCGTGCCCAGTGCATTCTCCGCGCGCCGCACAGTGGATCGGGTCAATTAGAGCGGTCGGACATGACATGTTTTATTAAAACTGCAAATTTTGATGTTTTTTTCTGTCACATTTTAAATTTCAAGGGGTGCCTGAAGCAGAATATTTCACAGGGAAACCAATGAAACCACTTTTAGAACCTCCAAATTTTGTATGAACGGAGATATAAGCGTTTAAAGTTTCCAAAGTATGTCGGACCTCTCCTATTGACTCGATCCGCTGTGCGCCGGTTATGCGCGTGATGACACGCGCTTGCATTAAGTCCCTCCCTCTTTATCTTTATCCTCCGTATTGGAGGATCGCTATAAGAATAAAATAAGCTCAATATGCATGTCACTGTTAGCTGTACCAGTTCCAAATTTGAGCTCAGGTGATGAGAAATAAGTCTTTCTGTCAAGCAGGAGATGAAAATTTTCGAAAAAAATCAGCGACTCATGAACAACACAAGCTAACAAAAATAAGTTCAAATGAAGAACAACTTAATCCGTTAAAGCACTTAATAAAATAACAGCTTAATCTAGGTAAATGCTGCACAACAAAACAAAAGATAATTGAAAAAAACCGGGAGCGTTCTGAAATAAATGACAATTTCATTTTCAACCGGAAAAAGGCTAAAAAATGAGTCGTTGATTCAGTGTTAATGCGTTCCGGATTTTTTTTCATTTATTTTTGTTTTGTTGTATAGCCCCGGATTAAGTTGTTATTTTTAAAAATAGATTACTTCCTATAGTTTATCTTTTAATTCTCAATAAGAGGAATGAGAATCATTGCCCCTCCACTTTGATACCTTTTCCTTCTAATGAAAATTGCTAATCCTACCACTGTCTTTTCTGATAACTCAGGCTGATGAAGCTGTAGATATTTTAATTTCAACCATCAAAAGCTATTGTTGTAGACCCTTTGAGCAAGTGAAATACTTTGAAGAGTTAGTAATTTTGATTAGACTTCAAGGTTCAAACAAATTGTTTAGAGTCTCACTACATGATTCAGAAGTGCACTCCTTTTTAATTTCTCAATAGACCCCGGTAGAATCCCTACAGTAGACTCCCAGTAGATTTTAGTTTCCTCAGTTATCCCAGAAGACTTTAGTGTATACGGCGACTGGACGCTAATCTTTCAATTATTATGAGCTGAAATAGGACTTTATAAATGTGTCTACCAAGTTGTACGTGTGTAATTTTTTTTTTTTTTTTTTTTGGCACAAAATAGACTTTACGAATAATACACTACTAGACATTGGAAATTTCTTTAAAAACCTTAATTTAACTGTTAATGTATGACTCAACGC